GACAAAAGAACAAGGTACACAAACACACCAAGACTCCTATCTGCGGTACCTAGCCAGTTTCCGAGAGCTTTTACCACATCCACATGAACATTGTGGGTCCCCTCCCGCCTTCCTAAGAAATCCGCTATCTTGTCACCATTATGGACCGCTTCGCACGATGGCCGGAAGCATTTCAAATGTCGGGCGTACAAGCAGACCTAGTTGCGAGGACCTTTGCCACTCACTGGGTTGTAAGGTTTGGCACATCGGCAACCATCACAACCGACAGAGGTAGGCAGTTCGAATGCGATCTTTTCGCCCAACTATCCAAATTATTAGGCACGAAAAGGATTCACACGTGCGCCTATCACCCACAAGCGAACTGTATGGTAGAACGCTTTCATCGGCAGTTAAAAGCCTGTCTGAGATGCCAGAGGAACCCGGGCAAGTGGATAGACATGTGGTAAGATATATGTGTGGGATACCTCCCGATGCAAAGACAAAACCGCTTGTAAAGGTCTGTGGGTCCAAAAATCTGAGCTCGCTAAGCGCATGCTCAACGCAGGACCCTCAATAGACTGGTCCAAAACACAACGTTTTGCGGGTTACGGGGACTTCACGTCATTGGGGAGTCTATAGAAATTAACAAAACAGCCAACGTCCTGAATAGGAGTAACGATTATAGAAAACAAAGTAAAAACATTTTGTGGTTGTCGGAGATAAGCTTAAGGATAGGGATAGAGAGGGAGTGCATGAAGAGGCTGGATTAGCCTCTTGTCTAGCTAGGACTATCATATTGGCCATGGCATGAGCATTAAATACATACAATAAACAATAGCACAAGCCCAAATATGATTTAGCATTAGTCGATCGTACACAAGTTTTTATGTGATGAAACAGCTTCCACCGAACGCACTTCCAGTTAATGAAGTAACTTAACTCATCTGTAAGCATGTAGAAGTAGCCAACAAAATCATGAGATGCTTCATTAATATTGTAAGGTTAGGTGTATAAAAAGCGACTAGGGTTGCAGCCGGTCACCTTCTTCTCTTGGTTTAGTATATTTTTTCTCTAGTTCGTAACTTGTGGAATCTTGCTCGGATGATGTCTGTCACAGTACAGACGAAAGATTAGCACAATTTCATCGGGATCGCAGGACGTTGAGCCGAGGACTTCTTCGCACAATTCAACAGTCTTCCTTACGCGACAATCCTCCTTCGGTTTCCGGTGAGACCATATCACGAATTCCTCCCAACCAACTTTTCCTTCGAAATGGAAAGTCATGTCACAATATTTCATTAAGAAATTCTTCGAAACCTAGTTTTTTTTATAGTATTACCAATTGTCCTATTTTGAAACGGCCGAATACAGTATTGAAGATCTGACAATAGAAAGATAATCATTGAAAGATGGTGCCAAATAGAACATTCTAAACCCCGTAGGCCACGGCGGAGCGGAGAAAGACTAGGAAAAAAACGTGACCGATTTAAACAAAATGTTGGCCACTTGATATACCGTTAAGCAGTTTTACTTTTCAACTTCTGATCGGACGATGCAGTACCAAGCTTTGATTTGGCGACGCGAAATAAAGAGTCAAGATTAATCACGCACTCACGTGATATCTGCGCGAAAGGATGTTGAGCCATGGCTACGTACAGGATGTAACAAAAATTAAACATTGAATGGGAAAAGTGTGGGGATAGGTCCTTACAAGCTTATGGATCACGATCCAAGCGAAAACCGATTACAGTACAACAGAATAGCTTACGGATATCAGCAACGATTACCTAAGAATTTCGTTGCCCCTACTAACATTTGAGTACCATCTGCCGATTACGTTAAAAGTCTGACCTATACGATAAAGAAACCTTTCAGGCGAACTACATGCCTAAATACCTTATGACTTACAAATACGTCTACGTCAGAGGCGACCGAGTATTGCCACCACTATCCGCACCATACAGTGGCCCTTTCGCGTCATCTCCAGAGTCGACAAGCACTTTACTTTAATTAATAAAAGGTCATCATGAAGTAATAGGCACAGACAGACCTAAGCCTGAAAAAATTGACTAGTCAGAAGACATCCCAATGACAAAGTACACACAGAGCAGACCAATATTTAGGATACGAAGAGAAACTTGGTTTCGATGAATCTCCTGAGATAACATTGTTAGGGGGATCCTTATTTCGAATGAAAGTACATGATGAAGAGATTCGTTTGTCTTAGCAAACAATTATATGGCAAAATTAGAGGAACACTTTCTACAAGAGGCACTTTTAACACCTAAATTGTTGGTTAGATACATGGATGACTATTTCGTCATCTGGCCCCATGGAAAGGAGAATTTAGACAATTTCCTGCTTTCACTGAACCAACGTGAAAGGAAGATT